ACTGCGTTCACCTATATAGGGTTCAATATTCTCTAATCTATGGAAATAAACTAAGAACAAGGAATTATTATCTATCCAATCAAATTAGCCACAAATCAGCAAATCTAATTGACAATTATTGATTCTAAATTAAGGAAACATCTAAATCAGAATATTGATATTCTAAGGCTGAAATTGCACAAGTGAAGGACTCTCCAAAGCCTTGAAAACGTGATTACTTCAATTAGACCCTTCCATAACTGATATCTTTGTGATTGACTTCCCTTCAATCTGATTTAGGTCCATTTGAATTGTGAATGGGCTTGTACATGGATTTGAACTCATGTTGGGCCTCCAATTATTTGCCATCTCAACTTCTTCTTGAATCAGCCCATATAATGCTTCCTTGAAACGCTTGGCTCTAAGCCATGTGATTGGTCCGCTTGGCAAGCTTAGTGGCTCTTGGTGGACTTCGTCTCTTATGGTTCCATTTGCATCATTTCTCTTGGAAAGCAGTATTATTAATTAGAACAGACACACACACACACACACGCACTCTCTTGGAAAGCACTAATATCAATTAGAAAACACACACACACACACACACTCTTGGAATGCAGTAATATCAACTAGAAAAAACACACACACACACACACACACACACACACTCTTGGAAAGCAGAAATATCAATTAGAACACACACACACACACACACACACACACACACACACACACTTGGAAAGCAGTAATATGAATTAGAACACACAAAGACACACACACACACACTGTCTCTGTTTTTAATAATCTGAGTTTTGGAAAGCAGTTATATACTCGAAATTCACACACAACACACACACACACACACACACACACACACACACACACACACACACACACACACACACACACACTCAGTATGTCTGTTTGTTTTTATAAATATCGATCACACACACTCTCTATCTTAGGAAAGTATTAATATAGATAATCCGAATTCTAGGAAAGCATTAATATACTCGAAATTCACACACAACACACACACACACACTGTTTTTAAATAACGATAATATGAGTTTTGGAAAGTAGTAATATACTCGAAATTCACACACAACACACACACACACACACACACACTCTTGGAAAGCAGTAATATCAATTAGAACACACACACACACACACACACACACACACACACACACTCTGGAAAGCAGTAAAATCAATTAGAACACACAAAAACACACACACACACACACACAC